GCGAAGTCATTTGCCCAAGGTCACACTTGTAAGTGGCATCAAACAGAATCAACAGTCAGTGTTAGTCTCCGACTGGCCCGGGCAGATCTCTGGACCCCAGCACATGTTTGGGATGCTTTGGATGTGCTTGGCTGAGCTTCTCTTTGCAACGTTTTCCTGACGGCTGATCGAGAAACCCAAATGAAGGTGATCAGTTAGGGTACTTATTGCTAGGCTCATGCAGTAGGCAAACCCTAAAATCTAAGTGGTTTAACACAGCGAACTTTATTTATTTCTAACTCAAGCAACATCCCACATGGATTGGCAGGGTCTCTCTCTCCAGTAGAGACACCCCTCAGGAGCCCAGCTCCCTCATCTAGTGGCACCACCCTCTCAACACTTGGCCTCCAAGTCTGCTGAGTCAGGGAAGAAACGGATGGAGAAACCACACTGGCTTTTCATTTCTTCACCCCAAAAGTGCCACATCAAATGTACTTGGCCTGGACTAGTCACATGGCCTCAGCCTAAGAGTAAAGGAGGGTGGGGAAAATGTGGAGACAGAGACTATCAGGGGAGCACCCTCCCTGCCGAAGTGGGACTGACCCCGAGCCCAGCAGCAGAGGCAAAAGTGAACGCGTAGGAGCAGTGGCTCATTTCAACCCCCGAGGAAGATAATAGCCAGATCCTGGGAGAACACAGCCTGTCCCTGCCCACGCCAGCCTGCTTTCAGCTTCCACTCTTGGCCCCTGCCCCAGGATTTAGGGGCCACTGGCAGCACGGAGAAAGGGGCATAGCTGGGAAGCGGGTCACCCCACAGACCAGTGAGAAGTTGCTCCCAATTTGGGAATGGGGAGGAAAAACAACTTTTGTCTTTTGACTTATGGGGAGAAGGTGACAGAGCTGTGGAGACTTGAGCTCCTGGATGTTCACACTGGAAACATAACCCTGGGGGAATTTGTTACCCACCCCTCATAGATGTGGCCCCCGTGGTCCCTGCCTCCTGGGTTTCATGCCTTTTCCTCAAGCGTGGGGGTGATCTGTGACTTACTTTTAACCCACAGAACATGGCAAGGTGATGCAGATGCGTGAGATTGCAGCGCCTGTCTTGTGAGGAGAGTTTTTCCCTTGCTGGCTTTGCTGCAGCCGGCTGCCACGGCGTGAGCTGCTCTGTGGAGAGGGCCATGCAGCAGGGAACTGAGGGCAGCCTTTGGCCTGCAGCCAGCAAGAAACCGAGGCTCTCAGTCCAGCAACCCACAGGACCTGCATCCCGCCAATAATCATGTCAGCTTGGAAGCGGACCCTTCTCTACTTGAGCTCTCAGGTGAGAACCCAGCCTTGGCCAACACCTTGATCGCAGCCTTGCAGAGAACTCAGCTAAGCCATGCTGGGACTTTTGATCCACAAAACCCAGGAGATAATAAATGTGTGTTGTTTTAAGCTGCTGACTGTGTGGGAGTGTTGTTATGCAGTGAGAGATGCTAATACGTTGGGATTGGCCAAGTGTGAGAGGGCAGTGCATCGGTTTCCTAGGGCTGCTGTAACAACGTGCCACGAACCGCTGGCTGAAAAACAACAGAAATTTATTCTCTCGTGCTCTGGAGGCTAGAAGTCCCAGATCAAGGTGTTGGCAGGGCCATGATCCTTCCGAACCCTCTAGCAGAGTGTTCATCCTTGCCTCTTCCAGCTTCTGGTACCCCAGGCGTTCCTTGACCTGAGGCAGCATCACTCCAATACTTCTTCTCTTCTTGCACGGACACCAGTCACAGGATCAAAGGCCCGCTCTACTCTCCAAGGCCTCATCTAAATTACTTGGATCTTCAGTGACCCTATTTTCAAATAAGGCCATTCAGAGGTACTGGGGTTAGGACTTCAACCTATCTTTTTGCAGACAAAATTCAACCCATTAACAAGAAGGAAGAAGAAAAGTATCGGCTGGAACGTGGACACCTCCTTCAGGAACACGCCCAAGCAGGCTACACCTTCAGGGCGGGGGCTCCTGTCTTCGCAGAAGGGCCTCAGAAACCGCTGGGGGAGAGGCCCCTCCCCGCGTTCCCCAGGGAATGCTTGAACCCAGGTCTAATTCTAGCTGCTGAGGGAATCCTCACCCTGCAGACAGGTTTCCCACGGGTGCCTGGTGTGGTTGTGTGGCCTGCCACATGGCGGGGGTGGACAAGGTGACCCCTTTACAAGTCCTTGCATTCTAAGGTGCCCCCATTTCGTCTGTCTGGTGTTATACATCCAGCCCTGTCCTGGGTTAATGAAGGGGCCACTTTGTCTGCCCAGATAGGGCGCCACCCACAAGCTGCAGTCCTTTTCAACTGTGGGCAGATGCTGCCACCTTGCGGTGGAAAGGCTCCGTGGCCAGGGTGACCACGTAATGTATGACAGACTAGGATGCTTTTGAAAGTTAAAGGGGGCACTTTTAATCCTTGTGCTGGGTCAGCGGTGTAATCTGGGACTGCCCCAGGCACACCGGGACATATGGAATGTGAGGGAGCAAGAGGCTGTGCGGGGACTCTGAAGCAGGCAGAGGTTTCCAGATTGTCCCATTCTCCTGTGTTCACTCCTCTGCCACCCACGCTGGCCTCATCCACCTTACACCACTAACACAGGAAAGAGTTTCGAGTTCCTCTGACACAAAGTACAAAGCAATCCCAACTATGCCTATTAAAAGGGAAAAAAGAGCTCTCTTTCTGCATTGCCTATGGACTCAACATGCTCCAAACACATTTAAAGTTTTCTTCTGACTTTAAAAATACATTTTAAATTAATAAAGGATTTAAATTCAGAAAAGGCCTTGTGTGCGTGTGTGTATGTGTGTGTGTGTGTGTTTGGTGGTGGTGGTTTCAAGATTTACATATTATTCAGAAATACAAAAGTGAAATTTTTGTTTTATAATTGCACTTTCTTCTGGAAGCTAACTTCTGTTGCTAGCAGGGACGAGGTGACATTGGCAGGACATTTCAACCTGAAGATTAAGGGTAACTTGACCTCTTTCATTTTCAGACCTCTTTTAGGTAAAGCAGTGAATTCAAAGCTCAAACTCCTAACATCCTGAAGGGGTCCCTTGCACCCCTTCTCTGGACCGTGTCTGGGTAGAGTGATGCTGGTCAGCCCCAACCGCTGCTCAGATCCCCTCGTCCTGCTTCATGATGAAGGCACAGCTGGCCTGCCCTGGTCCTTGGGTATCACAGTGGCATCTGCCACCCACACCCTGGTCCTCATCACTGTCTCGGGTGACAAGAGGGCCACTCTCTCAGCTTTCTTACTTAAAATGCAGGTCTCTTCTGGTCTCTCAGCTATCCCACTCCTTCATGGGTGCCAGAACACTGTAGAGTGCGTTCTTTCCAACATGCTGTGGTCTCTCAGAGTCTGCCCACAGCATCTGCCCCAGTCACTCTTACGTCCCCTCTCCTGGATCGTGTTAGACCTGCCATCCCACCAGTGAACCGTTTCTCTGTGAGGCCTGTTGTTTCCCCAGCTGTAGCCACCTCGGGCAGGATAGCAGTCCCTGAAGTTCTCAGATACTAAATCTATCTGGCAGCTCATTTTATCCACCTACCTCCTACCCTGCCACACCTGCTGTCAGTGTTCCATCCTGAGGTGAGGAAGGAGTCCGAACATTCCAGGTGATGCTTTGCCTTCCCTTCTCCCTCTGGCACCCAGCTCCTATTCTCAGCACCAAAAGGGACTTTTCCCTTCCTTTGTGGTAGAAACTTTGCTCCCATCTTATTCCATGTTCCTCTCTGGTCAATGATTTGTTCTCTGATTCGTTCTCTAAGCTCTGGCTGCCTGAAACTCTTCCAGCATTTTTTTTTTAACTTTCTCAACATAACCTGTAAACCAAATAGTAGCTGCCCCATTCTTGATGGTTCTTCCCCACACTGAAGCCATGAATGTCATTAATTCAACGTATGGGAGCCCCAGGCTAACCAGAGTCTAGGCGTTCCCAGGTTTAATATCTCACACAATGCTGTCCTCCTGCAGTGAGAATTTCACACTTGCTGAGTGTCACCAGATAACAAGTAAAGAAAGAATAGTCTTAGCTAGCAATTTAGAAAATAGATTGCTCCGATTAATTGCTAAAATAAACTTAGGTGGATTAATTAATTGAAACTAGCAGAAAATAGAAATGAGTATCATATCCTTAAAGGGGTAATTTTCTAAGCTTTAAAATCATGGAAGAAATAAACTAGGAAAAGAGAAATTCAAATACTTTTAAAGATCTGCCTCCCCCAACAAGAATATAAATAAATAAAAAGGAAAACAAAAGACCTGGAAAATCTTCCCAGCACATATTAGAATCAAGGGCTACTACACATGTTACACAACAGAAACCGGCACTGCTTCATTGTAGTACAAAATGACACCTTTTAGAAAGCAATCTGTCAATATAACCCAGGAATCTCACTATTTGGAATTTATCCCGAGGAAGTAATTTAAAAGAAGACTCAAGTTCTACATGCTTTTTATAACCCTGTTTATTGCCCTGTGGCGAACATTCGACACCTCTGACTCTCCCACCGGACGACGGGGATTGTGTTCTTTTCACCTCTGAATTCCGGATGCTTCGTCTAGAGTATGAATATTGTAGGTGGCAAACAAATGTTGCAGAATAACTATTTTCGTTGTATTTTTATTCTATTAAAAAATGGAAACAATCAATTTTCAACAATAGGGGAATGATTAAATAAAATATAGTACAGTCATTTGATGGGGATACAGTTGATTAAAATAACTATTAAGTGTTACAAGACATGAAAAAAATCTTACATGACTGTAGCACGTATGAATCCTGGACTATAGACTCAGTTGTGCCAAAAATGTAACTTTCTTTAGTTTTCTATAGTAAGCCTTACTTTCCCTTCCAAGTCCCCATTATGCTAAGTGTCGCACCCCTGGCGTGCTCCGGGGCTGGTCCTGGGGATTCTCCTGCAGGCCGGTCCTTCAGCCCACCCTCCTCAGCCCCATCCCCAGCTGCTCACTTTCCCCTGGAGCTGTGTGCAGTAATTTGTCCTTACCTGCTCTTGCTGGTGTCCACCAGGATGTCCACTGACTTCTTTCTCCTTTGATCATTGATCCATCCAGGACCTAGGGTGGCCTCTATTCCCTAAAGCAGAAATTTCTCAGTCCAGCCTTTTTAGCCACACCCAAACGACCCCAGGCCAGAGGGAATCCGAGAGGTCGTGTGAGTCCTCAGGTCTAGCTGGGTCACGTAGCCGTCGCTGCTCCCACACCGTGCTAATTGGAAGGAACTCTGCCACACTTGCCACTTCTCCAGGCTCTTTTCAGAGTCTCACCCATGAGGTCGTGTGGGAGCCAGTGAGGTGGGGGATGGGCCCAAGCCACACACCTTCCTTCTGATTCTCTGCAGCCCTACTCCAGCCCAGCACCATGAGCAAGTTTCTGGGGTGAGAAAAACTGGTTCTGGCTGTTTATTTACTTCCGAGTGCTTTTGTCTTTGGGCCAGACCTCAACTTTTGAAAATTCTTTTTCAGCTTTTGAAATTTTAAGCCCATTATTTGATTACTTTATAGTTTGGTTCTGATGTCACAACCCACCAGAGACAGAATAGGAAAAGCTAAGATATAAAATACAACAGTACAAACCACAATAAAAATTTAAACTCATTGACTAATGTACCAAAAAGCCCACAAAATGCTAAAACAAGCAAAACCCCCAAATCACGTGCACGACCCCATTATAACTATGTGAACGCTGTCTATGCACATGTACAGACACTCTATGGAACCGGGGCACACCAAGCTGGTTGAGGTCTCGGTGAGGAGAGAGTGTGGGTGATTTGTTTTCTTTAACACATTTCCTTCATCTTAGTTATGTGTAAATACCAGCCTTGTTGTTTGTGAAAAAATCATTGTAGCTCCAGTAATGCAGAAGCTTCCCACTTCCTCTGTTCCCACCTGGCCCCCGCCCCGATTCTGCATGTCCCCTCCAGTACGGCCAGCCTCCTCGCCGCAGCCTGCCTGGGCCTCTGCTTAGCCCAGTGCTTCTCAAACTTTAGCTACGTCAGAATCCCCTGGAAGGCTTGTTAAAGCACAGATTGCTGGGCTCTGCCTCAGAGTTTCCCATTCGGTCCACTGGGTGGGGCTGAGGATTTGCGTTTCTAACCAGTTTCCAGGTGATGTTGATGTTGCTGGTCTAGGGGCTGCCCTTTGAGAATCGCCGGCTTAGGCTCGCCTCCCACCTGAAACGTCTCCTTTTTTTGCTCCCTCCCTCCTTCCCTTCCCTTTCTTCCTTCCCTCCTTCCTTCTTGGCTCCCTTCCTCCCCCTATTCCTTCCTCCCTCCCTACCTTCCTCCCTTCCTTCCTTGTCAGTCGTCCACAAACTCCTAATGGGACCCTAATATGCATAATAGGCATGAGATACTCCTTAAGGAGTTTTTTTGGCTAGAACCAATCTATTCATCAGTGTACTTCCCCTACCTTTTCTCAACAAATTCTCAGAACTTGCATTGTTTATTCTGCACCATCCCTACCACTTACATAATCCAGCCAGTATATCAAGATAACTCTATATTATTTTGAATTTATCACTGCATGCCTTTGTAATTGTTTCACAATTTTTTCTCGCTTTAACCAGCCCTTTGAAACACACAGAATCCTCCTCCTCCTCCTTTGTGGGCACAGAACCCAAGCTTGCAGACTGGGTCTCCGGAGGGGCCGGCGCCCGTCTATTGCTGGAGCACTGACTTAGAAGCCTGTCTGCTCGCACCCTGACTCATCCTGATGACGAGCTGCTCCGGCCATCGTCCACATTCCTGCTCCCAGGAATACCCCCGGCTCCCTTCCATCAGCGCCCGGCCAGAGACAGCCGTGCTGAGCAGAGAGGAACAACTTCACCATGTTAGAAATGGGTGTTACTAAGAAAGTTATAATACAGTTTCAGAGTTTTATATTAAAAAATACAGAAAAGCCAAGGAAGAAAATTAAAATTTACCCATAACCCCACCACATAAAGATACCCAATTTTAACATCGGAATGTTTCTCTCCCGTATGTATTTTCCCACATAATTAAACTATTCTGCAAATACTGTTTTTCAAGTCATATTTTTTCATTTGCCAATATATCCACACTTCTTTACTCATGTTAATCTTTTATGACGTCGCTTCAGATGGTTACAAAGCATGACCTCGTATATGGAGACTATATGTTACTTTAACCAATCCTTTATTGATTAATAATCCACCACTTCTGTTAATATAAACAACAACTCAGCAAATATCCTTGTTCGTTCATCTTTGTACACCTTTCAATGATTTAATCAAATGTATATTTTAAAGACTTGGATGCATATTGAAAAATTGCCTTCCAAAATATTTACATTCCCCTCAGCAGTGTGTAAGAGGCCCATGCAGTCCCTCACAGGCCACTACCAAACTGTGGGATGGTGTCCTTCTCATCAGTGAAGGTGGCATCTTATTATAATTTGAATGTATCTCATTGCTTGGAGAATGAATTTTATTTTATTTTTTTGAGGGAGCTCAGCTCTGAGCTAACATCTGCCGCCAACCATCCTCTTTTTTTGCTGAGGAAGATTGTCCCTGAGCTAACATCCATGCCCATCTTCCTTTATTTTACATGTGGGACGCCTGCCACAGCATGGCTTGACAAGCAGTGCGTAGGTCCGCATCCGGGATCCGAACTGGCGAACCCCAGGTCACCAAAGCAGAGCATGTGAACTTAACTGCTGCACCAGTGGGCCGCTCCAAGAATGAATTTTAAATTAGTAGTAAACATTTGTATTTATTCTTCTGTGAATCGCCTTTTTGCATCCTCTGCCCAGTTTTCTCCTTATTGTTTTTTGACAGCAGATTAAGTTAGACGTTCAGTTGAACCACCAAGATCCACAGTGAGATGAGAGACGGACCTGCAGAAAATTCCACGAAAAGAACCAGTGAGGCCACTCCCCGAGCCCGAGGATGAGGGGTTGAGAGTGGAGGTGGGAGTTGGTGGAGCAGATTCCTGTGCAGGGGCTGTGCTGAGCCTGACCTCCCCAGCCCAGTCGGGGAGCGTGCTGCTGCCGCCCGGGCCTCAAGTCTCATGACATGGGCTTCCGTTGACCACGGGGAGGGCGTATGTTCCCTGCAGTTAGGGCAAAGGCTGACTCTGCCCATGGAATCCAGGGGAGAGGTGAGGCGGTTGGCCAGCTGCTTTGGTAGTGGAGCGAGCCAAGGAGAGTTGCTCAGATTCTACCCAAGCAAAGAATGCGAATTTCCTGTGGACCAGAGGTAGAGGTGGCCCATTCAGGAACGAGAAATGGACTGTAGCCATTTGAAATCCTACCCTGTAATAGGCAGAATAACAGTCCCCCCAAAGATGTCCGTATCCTAACATCCTAGTCCTCGGAGCCTGTGAATATGTCACCTTACCCAGCAAAAGGGCCTTTGCAGATATGACTAAATGAAGGATCTCGGCCTGGGGAAATTATTCTGGATTATCTGGTGGTCCCAATGTAATGACAAGGGTCCTCGTAAGATGGAAGAGGGATGCAGGAGTGTCAGAGCCAAAGACGGGGAATTTTCCATAACTTTATATATATATATAATATTTATAAACTTCTGCTATTGTATAGTATTTTACAAGAACTCTCTTGTTTTCAAAATGCTTTTTTTAAAATATATAACATCATTTTCTTTTCTCTTTTTTTTTCTGGGAAAGATTCGCTCTGAGCTAACATCTGTTGCCAATCTTCCTCTCTTTTTTTTTTCCTCCCGAAAGCCCCAGTACATAGTTGTATGTTTTAGTTGTAAGTCCTTCTAGTTCTGCTATGTGAGCTGCTGCCACAGCATGGCCACTGACACACAAGGAGTGTGGTCCCACGACCGCGAACCGAACCCCGGCTGCTGAAGCAGAGCACGCCCAACTTTAACCACTGGGCCAGAAGGGCTGGCTCTGTAACGTCATCTTCTTGATTCATGGTTGCAATATCTCCTTATGTTTCCAAGGATATTGATTATCATTTTTTCCGAAGAATTGTTTGTACAGTTTTTTTAAATCTCTGCATTGTGTCTGTTTCCCCAAGCTCCTTTTTCCTGTTTGTTTATTTTGGTCTCTGGCTCTGATTTTAGAGGCTTTCCTCAAATGTCTAGTGGTCCCCGTATGTGTGTTCACACCTAAGACTGAGGCACCTAAACATGGATTTAATTTTTTGGATTGATTTTTGGAGCTCATCGATCACCTTGACAGGCATCACTGTAGGTTTTCTGTTGTGTTTTTTCAGGCAGGGACCCAGCCACTTCATTGGCAGAAACTCCCAAATTTAGTAGCAGTGGCCGTTTACCCTTGTGCTGATTGGCTTTCCTGGAGCATCTTCCAGCGCCCTGCCTGAAGGCATGGGGCAGGGACACGTGTCTGCTTGCATTTTTGAAACCAAATGGAGAAAGGCTGGAGGGTTCACATCTCCATGTAGAGGACCAGCTAATCCGCTGGTTCTCAGCTCATGTGCCTCATGTTTCTGAGTTTAGAGTTTATCTGGTACGAATTCTCTTACTTTCGGCTGATCGCCCATCCTCACCCCCACAGGCCTGGCTTCCATTCTCTCGACCCTCCCGGCTCAGTTCCCTTCTCCTACATGCTTTTCATCTTCCACTGTCATCTCGTTTTCTTTTTCCTTTGTCTTTGTGGATTTTTATGGTATTTATTCTTTGACTGTCATTTTAATGGGATTTGGGGATGAAGTGGAGATAAAATATTGTATCTACTCCACCTTGTTTAAGCAGAACTTGGGATTTTTCTAGATGGGTACCGTTTGATTGTTATCCTGCTGTGCTGTGCCCCTCTCTGGGCTGGCACAGTGTCAGCTGGGGGTTTGCTGCGTGGCCCCAGGAGCGTGAGATTTCCCGGAACACTAGAGGAGGCGTGGTCCCTGGCTGTCAGATTCTGGAGGAATGGTTCTCAGCTGCCACATTTTATAGTTTTGGGTTGTTTTATAATTTGGTGAATAGAAGAATTCACTTCCAATAATTTATTTAATCTCAGTAAGAACAGTCTTTGTTTTGTGGGTTTTTGAGAAGCAGCAGTAACACTCTTGGGGTGTTTTGAAAGAAGACTAGAGAATCACCCTCTAATCAGTCACCTGCATTTAGAAACACACTGATGAGAAGTTAAATGCCATGTTGTATTAGAAAAACCTACACTCCGCCTAAGTGTCTCCTTCATCTTTACACAGGACACTTCACTTCTGACACTTCTGGTTTCCCTCAGCAAGCAGTTCTATCACACCAGCTGGGCGTCCTACTTTTAACTCAATTCTGATTCTGTACCTGGAGACAGCGTCAAATCCCACAGGTTAAAGCCTCGGTCCCTCAAGACCGTGCCCCTCCCTTCAGCTCAGTCCCTT